AGTACGGCCAGTTTGTGGATTAGTACGCATTTGTTATGCGGTAACGCTTTCTTGGGTAATGTTTTTACTCCTCGGCTTTGAAACGAAATACGTGCAACCCATAATTCCGAGCAAATAAAAATCCCGAGCCTCGGCCACTACGGTATTGTTTTCGTTCTGCACATGTGTTTTGGAGCTGCGATATATTTTCTGCTCGTGTTTTTTGCGCTCTTGCTCTCGTATGGGTACAAGTCGATACAAGATGTCAAAGTAAAGATTCGCATACTCAGAGCTCTCGAGGCGCTATATGTGATGATATTCCCCGTACTTGCACTTATACTCGGGGAATATTTTAAGGCCGTATATTCCCTAGTTATGTTCATTTCATGTGCCATAAATTTAATTTCAATTCTTGTACAATTCAGGATCACCGTTGATTTTGGGTTTGCCGACAATATTATCGGAATTGCACTAGGCATTCTGATAAATATTGAAGGCAAGACGTGGAAAATAATAATCATAGCCTTAATTTGTAGTATTAGGTATATAATTACTCATACTAGGATATAACTCGAAGAAGGTGATGAAGAAGACGAAGGTGATATTTGGATGATTATTGTTATTATTTATGTATTTTTGTAACTAATCCTCTATTGTAAATAAATATACTTATATAATGATTGATCGACAAATGTACATTATAATATTTCTTTTTCGTTTAGTTCAATTTTACTTTATCTCGATTCACGAGTATAATGAAATGATGAAGTTTGTGGGAAATAATAAGTAAAATAAGCTTTTTAATTTGGAATAATTAGAAATGCAATCTAGGATTGAAACTCATACTGAATTATATTTTTCACCTTTATTCTCCATCAAAAAAATGAAAGCATTAAATAAACTGACACTGAAAAATTTATCTATCTTTTCTTCATTCAATTTTGCCGAGAGACTAAGTAAAATTATTATTTTTTATTTTGAGAATAATTATAAAAATTATCATTGATCAAATATGTTAGAGACAAATAATGAATTATAACAGTATGAGAGAGAAATAAGAATACCTTCTTTGAGTTTGATAATCGGAGATTTCAGTTGATATTGAGTCAACAAGTGTTTGGTCCTCCTATGTATCATATGTTTCAAGCTAATTTTTGAGCACCGGCGCTACAGCGTTGAAGTAACCCATACCAGACTCCCCGAAAAAGCAGGAAGGACCTTTAAACAAAGGGGGTACATGTACCCCAAACTGACACAAGTGGATAGGTAGAGTATATTTAGGTGAGCGAGACATGAGGAACCCGACAAAGTATGTGTTTTTTCGTATTTTATATTTGGAAACAATTTTAAGAAGACTTATAAAAAGACTTATAAAAAGACAAAAATATTATATAGATAGAGGCAAATGAAAACACCAATTTAAAAGAGTTTATAAAGATTAACCTACAACTCTCCAAATATCACTTTTACTTTGTTCACTCGAACAAAAAGAGTATGTTTAACTAATGATGAATTGTGTGGTTTAAATAGAAAAACAAAATATAAACAATAATTAAGTCCTATTAAATGACATGAATATATCTTTCCCATGCCCAATGTAAATATTAGTAAATGATATAAATATATGTCTTATTAAATCACATGGACCACAAAAAACATTATGCAATATCAAATTAAATAGTAAGCACGCAGGCGCGTGACAATGTAGATAACAATTTTTAATTCCATATATACAATCATAGCACACATATTTATATTATTTTATAGCGCAATTGCACTATTTTTTTTTTTAAATTAGGACAATGACATTTTTTTTCTCTACCAGTACTCTATCCATCTTTGCTGCAACACTTCAGATCTGCTCCTCTCCCGCTATCAATGTTACAACCTCCCTTTGTTTGAAGCATTAACTAAATGGCTTAATTCGACTTTGCATCCTTAAAGTATAGGTTTTTGACATTTTGTACCCTCGAAAAAAAATTAATAACACTTCGCACCATCGAAACATAATAAATCATGTGAAATGCACATCGGAAGAATTTTTTAAGCTAATGAAAATATTTTAATAGTTTTAGTAGTATTTTGTAGGATACCAAAATAAAAAATAAAAAAATATATATTCGTCAATGCTATCTAAACAAAAATGTGCAAAAATAATAATATATATCATTGAGATATTTAAAAATTATATTTTTTCACAAAAAAATATTTTTACCAAAAAAAAGGTTCATGTATTTTTTTTGATTAAATTATTGAAGAGCCTCCCCAAGTTCCAACTATAGTACTATTGTCCAATTTATTTTTTTGAGATTTATTTAGTATAAGAGAAACAAAATCTAATTGTCTCATTTTCAATTACCGCTTCATGTCTCTCATAATTTCGTGGATAAAATTGATTTATATTATATTATGGGCGGTATTTTCGGCCAAAGACAAAGGTTTGGTCTTTTTTTGTGAAACTATTTTTGGTCTTAATATGTATGCATTTAAGTCTCGGTCTTTGGGCCGCCTACACGGAATGTACCCAAGAATGAACAATGCATTACTTTCGTTTCGATTAAGGTCCATAATAAGCTTAAAATGTACCACTGCACCAAACACAACAACAAGAACATCGGATTCAGGGTGAAAAATCCCTGCACGAAAAGTAAATTATTTTAGAAAACAAAAAGAAATTCGGAGCATTAGTTTATTCAGGCTATAAGCAGCAAAAGCGTACGAGGCATAAGATCGATCATATACTACGTACAACGCACAGCTCAGAACGAACGAATTATGAAATATTAAATAAGAATGGAACTAAGAACAACTTCTCGCCTGGAAAAATTTCCAACATATAAATACCCGAAGTTACGGTGAAGACTAATTTTAATAGAGCATCCGAAAAGAAAATACACGTATATTTGCAATATTAATATCCTCACAAACGTACCATCTTGCCT